ATTCGAGCAGTATCTATTACATTAGTTTGTAATTCCATTCCTAGAAGCGGCGGATTTAGTATTTATATACTAAATAAAGTAATCGTATGCGAAAGCGTGTGGCATAAATAAAATGCGGGAACATGTTCGCACAGAGCTGATCTGGTTTTTGTTTCGTTTTTACTTGACCCTTGCCTATGTGCACGAGCGCAAATCAGAGGCAGGAAATGATGACGCAGTCATGAATAACGAGTACACGAGAGGAACCGGAAATCGTTTGCAACGACAAACCTATGGGAGCATTAATGTGCACATTACTGATGCACATTTTCAGAAGTAATCGGAACTCGTGAGAAACCAGCGAGAAAGATATGATTTCGCGTACATTTCGCTAATTAATGTAAAAAGATATGTAGATTGGCTACCGGTAATTAAGATGATATATAACGATAAATTAAAATGATTTGATATATATTGTTTCCGAGAAGTACGATTTTCTCAAAGAAAATGCTTGACGATGGAATTATAAAATCTCAAAACATTTATCACAAGCTCTAAATAAAAAAGCAATTATTATAAATTATATAATGCAAAATAAAAATAGATAAATAAATATATTCCAAAAAAATTGTTCTTTTTTGTTGAGAATAACTTTAACAAGATGAAGAAATCAAAAAATATTAGATTATTATTATCATTTGCAAAAATGTCAGAAATTGAAAAACGCAAATTGATTAGCAACTTCTCAAAGAGAAAAATTTACATTATATCGACGAAACAAATAAAACAAACACTTTCCTAAAACTATGACAGATTGAATTAAATGAAAGATCTCTCACTGATATGCAATTGTCCGAGGCGCTGTTGCGAAAATTCCGTATCTCCTGCAAACTTCCCCAAGGTCGAGGCTTGTCAGACTTGCCGGAATACGAATGACAGTAAGGTTGTCGGGCGTACTCCATGCTGGAATTTATGTCCTCCAAGCTGTGCACTAACGATTTCGTGATCTGGCCACAGTACACCTTCGGACTGAGCTTGTTCGTAGTGTCCATGAGACGTTTTAATTCTTCCGTCGACGTCACTTTAGACGATTCCACGTCTTCGATGCCGTCGAGCAATGCTGTGGTACAAACGGACGCGAGGGATCCAACGGACGTACTGGCCAACATGGTACGTGCCGTCGCAGCAGGGGCAGATGTTTCAGCGCAGGTGGTGGTTGTACCTTTCCCACTCCCCGCCACGTGCCGCATCTCTGTGAAAAGTTTCATTTCGTAATTCCCCACCATTGCCACTGCTACATTCGCGCTTGTTAAGCTCGAAGTTAAACGAATTCTGCCCCAGTTGTATCCCATTTCAGATAGATACAGTTGAAGAAGAAAGAAAAACGGGATCCTAAAATTATGTGCAATTTTTGCCGCATCATATTTCGGATTGTTAAATCGAATTACCTTTAGAGAGATCAAATTTTAGTTCTTCGCTCCACAATCTGGCTTCTGAGGTCGCGCGAACTGTCAATCGGTGTCCCGCAGCCTCATTGACAGGTTCTTTGGATAATCGCGCGCTTACATTCTGTAAATGAATTAGCCGTGAGCCAAAACGGTGGAATATTATATTATAGAATGGAGTAAGTGGCAAAGCAGCTTTTAATGTTTCAGATATTCGATTATTTTAAAATATATACGTATAGAAAAATGATAAATTATATTTTTTATTAAAAGTATTTCTAACAAGTATTTTTAATGTCAAAATGTTTGTATGTTTCATGTGCTAAATTATGCTCAAATTATGATCTCATGTTTTTGTCTTTTCCAATTCAGTCTAATTTAAAGACCTCATTGCATTGACATAAAAGTGACATATTTTAAAATTAACACCTTTTTCAGTAGAACATTTTTAATTCTGAATTAGAACGTTTTAATTAAGATAGTAAAAATGCATAACATTACTTTCTTTCCAATTATACCATAAATATTCAATTATATGTATTCTTTAAAACTATGTCATGAATTTTCAAAATTCAAACATTGTAACTCTTATACTAATTGTTTACTTATGTCGCTTTTCTATCAACATCCTTTTTAGAGTCACTCAGGTCATTGAAGGTAAATATAGATTTTTTAGATATAAAATTTATAAAATAGCGTGATAAAAATATTAACAGAATCTAAATTTAAAAGTACCCTATATTGCATATTGGAGTATTGCCTCCTTCGTTCGCGATCGTTTGTCAGATTTTTACTCGAACAGCTGCCGTAGTCATCTTTAAAACCTATTCCGGAATCACTGTTGCTCGAATGAGCAGTCGACGTGCTAATGTTGCTTGGTTGAGGAGAAGCGGTGTCCAAGCGCATACGTGCTTCATTGTAAGGATTTGTGCAATTCTCCCCATTCGTGCAATCGGATATATACAATGTCTGTATGGCACCGATAAGGCTCGTACAACTGTCAGGAAACTCTTGGCAAACATTTAACTCTGATGATTTTGTACACATAAATCCAAACACATTGCATGCACTGGAATGCACTTCATGATCGATTAACTTGTAATAAATAGTGAAAACGTGACACGAATTCGAGACGATATCATCTGTGTTCCTCATGGACTTAGTTAATATTCCAAAATACTGCTTGTCTTGTTCGGAAAAAGAGTTACAGAATATTATTCGATACGAAGGATATTCAGCTATAATGCGATTCTCCGAATTGGTGAGTTTAATATTGGCAACGTGAATGGTAAGAAGAACGGTAGTTGGATTTCGCTTCTCAGCTTTCAGTCTTTTAATGCATTTTCTTAAAACCTGCAACAAGAACAAGCAAATATATTTTTTGCTATTATTTCTTTATTATATATATTTTATACAAAATGAATATCACAGCAATATGTTTATTATATTAAATTGACAATTAAACCATTTAGATTTACAACCAATCAAGTATTAATTTTATTGACCTATTCAGGTTTATTGAATCAAAAATGTAATTTATTTTCTCATTAATATTTAAAAAAACTTATTTCTCTGCTATTTGATGATTTTGTTAATATAAAATCTTTTTTTATGAAAAAGTGTTAGAGCTTTTTAATAATGTTCACCCAAACGATATGATTATATAGAATATTTGAACAGACCAACAGGATTAATCAACAAAAATTATTATGAATTGATTTTAAGTATGTGAGAATATACCTGCATCATAGAGGACGGATGCAATTGATTCGGTATATCGATAGTACCGAGATAACCGACAACCGTTCTGTGTACGATCTTTTCAGAGTCGCGTTTGTGAGACGCCGGTGGTGGTGGCAGCGGGAGCGGACTTGTCATATTCCAGCGATAATGCAAGCCAGAATAATTATACTGATCTTTAGCATCAGGCATTGCTAGGCCATCCGTATGGAACATAGCGCCACTCTGTAGATCCCTGACTACCTTGGCTGCTCTGCATTGTAACTGCAAAGCACTCGTACTAGCAGTTCGTGGCTTGTGTGCATACTTGGGCTTGGATCTTACGGTGGCTAAGCCCTCCTCGTCCGAGGAATCAGAGTAATAGTTTTCAGCGATCTGCAGCCGTAGAATACCCTTGGAGCTTCCAATCAGCTGTACTACGTCGTCGTGTGGTACCTTGCTGACGTTGTGACCGTTGACGGCGACTAGATAGTCGCCAGCGCGCAGACCAGCACCTTCCGCCGGGCTGCCCTGCACGATGCAGCTGAGTATGCACGGCTGCTGGCCCGATATCGTAAAGCCAAAGCCCTTCGTGCCACGGACTACTTCGACCGCCCTCACTCCATAGTTCACCCGCTTCTTCTTCCGCCTGTTCTGATGCATGTCTGCTTACCTGTCGCACGTGGGCCTCGCAACGTCACGAAGGGTCTCCAGAGAGGAGCACGTCACGGTGGCTCGCAGACTTCATAATTCACGATCTCACGTCTCTACAATGATCATCTTTTTCTATGACGTTCCTTTGTCTTGTTTATAACTTTGATCATAGACCCTCTAGGAGTCTAGAACCAATTTCTTCTCCTTTAGTGAGAGATCTTCCAGAAGAAGCTGCTCCGCAACGACACAACGGACTGTCACTTATGTGGCACTATTCCTGGCCCTCGGGACCTCGCTGATACGCCCACTCCTATTCGCGGAAATCATTCGTGGATTATTTGATAGATTAATCCCAAGTCTCGATGGAAATGTCGTTCGAAACGAGCAACCCTCTAGACCAACCTGGATGTTTGCCACTGTTCGCCACTTTGCGTTGTTCGTCAGCCGAACCTCGCTAAAAGCAAACCCTACGAGCGGATGTTTTGGAATGCGTCCATCGAGAAGGCTAGAGAAAGGTAATCGACCTTGTGGCAAATAGCTTAGCCCGAAGTGGCTCACCGTCGTCATAGCGAGTGATTGGACGAAGAAGTTCTGGACATTTAACGTTTTCCTTACCGGCGGCCAATCAACATTCTTAGCACTTTGAGTCTGTTCGTTTTGTCTGCCTCACAATAATTTGTTTATGTTTTAATAAAATGATAAATAATTAATTAATGCTATTATACGTAATAAAAATATATTAGTCTTCTCGATTTTATAATAAATTCACTAGTTATGAAAATGCAGAACACCGTAATAATTTAATCTTTTAAAATTATTTTGAGGTAAATTCTAAACGACTAAAAAACATGGTCTATTTTCTCTCCTGAAATTTGGCCAAAAGCCTCCGATTCGCTCCAAATAAACCAAATATATTCTCTTGCCCATTTATAATCGTTTTCGAACTTCAATTAAAAAAAGATCTCGGTAAATATTTTCTGATTTTCTTGTAAATTTGTGTATCTTCATGCGTAGAATATATTTCGAGAAAGAAAATTATCGCTCAAATTTCGTTTTTTTTTTTTAATTTTATCTTTATTTTAATATAAATCTAGACGACAGATTCGCAAAACAAATTCGCAATCGATGAGCAAATATCTTTCTTATCTTATCAAAAAAAAGCCACTTTCGTTTCATCCGATACTTCACTGTTTATCACGATCGGCACTTTCGGTGTTATCGACTTTCATTTTTTTTCGCTATAAAGTGTATATATACCGCTGTCTGCCGCTGTCCAGCATCCGTAGACTGTCATAGAGGCGTAGAATTAATATTCGACTCGTCGACTCGAACTGACCCGAACGTGCATCGTTCAGAGTACGTCTGGAAAGTCACCGGCTAACATATAATCGGCGGCCGATAACGACTTGTTACATAAATCGCTATTAACAGCGAGAGAGGTAAACACGATTCCAGTGCGTTCCACCAGGATCACCGCCCATTCATCCTTCCGTTGAAATCCATTCTCTAATTTTATATATATTCTTTATTCATTCTTTAAATCGTCATAAATCGTGCACCCGGCACCGGCGAGCGTATCGGACATGTCCCTGTGCCTCCTTGCTTCGAGGGCTTCGAGTAATGTCTCCTGCAATTAAATCTACAATTAGCTATGAGTTACAACATGGGTGGGCCATCTAATATTTGGAATTTCTATTACCGGTTATTTTGAGTTTGAAAGGCGTAATAACATTTATGACGTATCAGAAATTTAGTTTTTTGTTTGACGTTTACGAAATGGGTCGCTATACGCTTGAACAAAATTGGGAAATATTGAAAACTTACTTCCAAAGTGGTGAATCTTCAACCCAAAGTATAAGAAATTTACGTGGAAAATTTGGTAGAAAAGAAATACCTTCAACGCAGTTCGTGGATCAATTTGTGAAGCGAGTTCAGCAAACTGAATCCTTATTGGATAAAGCAACTCGTTCATGTGCTCGTCCAGTAAGGTCAACCGAAAACATTGTTGCTGTTGCTCAGAGTGTACTTGAATAACCATCAACATCAACTCGCCATTGTTCTCAAAACTTGAACATTTCACGCACTTCTTTGAGAAGAATTTTGAATAAAGATCTCGGTATGAAGCTGTACAAAGTTCAATTAGTGCAAGAATTGAAGCCGCATGACCATCCGATGCGTTTTCGGTTAAATTCCAAATTTTTAATGGCCCACCCTGTACACGAATCCGATTTACACAGTTGAGAACGGGAATCGAGGCTGCGAGAGAGCGAAACTCCCTCCCGTCACTCACCGATCGCGAATCGTATTTACTGCAAACAGTCGATACTTGGCTTACAAGAAAATGGTGCTGCGTCACGAAATTTGCGTCGCGATTCTCTGTTTGGGATGTTTGGGTATTAAACGCGTCCTGATTCCACTCGATTCCCGTTCGCTTCCCAGCAAAAGACATTTGGTAGCACAAATGGTGGGGTAGAACAAATCGTTTTGATTGTTTACAAGAATTATTTATACCACTATCAACATTGTTCTACCAAGTGTCCTTGACTCCTCGTTCTATTATCTTTTTAGCATTTAATAAATTAATGGATTTTACCTCGTTCGCAGGAATCACATCAGTGGTAGGAACACGTTTATTGTCATCCATGGCTGAGGCTCTGCAGACTCACGAAGTTATTCCAGATGTGGTGAAAAAAGTACCTGCTAGCGTCCTGAATGTAACCTATCCCAATAATATTATCGTTCAGATCGGCAAGGAGCTCACTCCAACTCAGGTCAAGGATCAGCCTAATGTTCAATGGGAGGCAGACCCAAATGCATTTTATACTTTATGCTTGACTGGTTTGTAATGTTTGCATCCCATTTTTCATTATAAACTAGAATAAAAACAGTCTATAATTTTTTTTAATATTTAAGTATCTTTGTTGCATTTAAAGTTCGCAGAATTTTTAATTTTGATTTTTTATTTCTTTCTGTAAGTTATAATAACAGAACTGTGCCAAATTTTTGAAGAGAAATTTTTGAACATAAATTAAAGTATTTCTTGTAGATTTTGAATCACTGAATCTGAATTAGTTAGCCGTTTTATTCCCTTATGTCCAGGTTTCATCTAATCGAGAAAAATGATGAAAAATCTGAAAATTGAAACATTTGAGGAAAATGTAATAAATAAAAATAAATATGACATTAAAATCGATATAAAGTACTATTGTGCAACAGTCAGGGAATCTGCTGGAGTCATGGAAGAATTAGTCAATTTAAAAAATGGATAATTAATTGTTATTTTATCTTCTAAAAGTAACACAATTAAAATATCCATTTCTGAAATTGAAAAAAATTTCACCTAATTGTTACACAACAGTACACTGATTTTATAAATTTTGTTAGTGATCCTGTGATAATTGTAGATAATAAAAGATATTTATATATTTTAAGTAAATAAGAAAGAAATCATTCTGACAGAAATAACATTAACATTTAAAAATTTAAACTTAAAGTAGCTCTTATTTCACTCTCTGAATTTTTCAGTATTAATGTAATAGTTTATAATTTAATAAGTTATTCTCAGCTCTATAGCGTATTTTTTAAACAGATCCTGACGCTCCAAGCAGAGCGGATCCTAAAAACCGTGAATGGCATCACTGGTTAGTAGGCAATATTCCTGGATCGAATGTGAGTAAAGGAGACGTTCTGTCTGAATACATTGGTTCTGGACCTCCGAAAGATTCAGGTCTCCACCGATATGTATTCTTGTTATACCAACAACCTGAAAAGCTCACTTTCGATGAGAAGCGCTTGACCAATCGAAGTGGTAGCAATCGTGCTAAGTTCTCCATTAGTAAATTTGCGAAGAAATATAAACTCGGCGATCCAATTGCCGGTAATATGTACCAGGCGCAATATGATGATTATGTACCGATTCTCTATAAACAGCTTTCCGGTTAATTCTGTACACGCATCAATAATATATAATCAGTTACGATATGATTCACATGTATTATACATAATAATGTATAACCAACTGTCTATTAAATAAATACACATCAAATACACATCAATACTTTTCAATTAATGTTTGTGTCTATTATAGTTAAGGAAAAAAACGAATCTTTCGTTTTAAGCTTAATTATTTACTAATTATAAATTCAAAATTAAATTCTTAAATTTTCTATAACATGCACTATTACCTGTGATACTAGTTCGAGTTTACAATACGTTATCACAAATGCACACTTTATATAGAATTAAATAGAATTAAAATAAGAAAATAATTGAAAGTACCAACAAAAATGTAATAGCAATTAAAAGTTTCTATATTAATTGTTAAAATGTATTTATATAAAAATTATCTTTAATTTCCCCAAAGAAAAATTACATTCAATTTTTTTCTATGCTATTATACAGATATGTATACATCTTCATATTGTATGAATTAATCAAATTAATCTCTCGTGATCTATTTGATGATTAATAAATTTTCTCAGGAAAAATTTTAATCACTAACACTCTGTGCTTATGTATTAGCAATAAATACACGATATTGGAAAGACTAGTCGGATTGGCCTTCTAGCACGCAAGCTGGTGGGGATACGTCTTAAAACGTTCCTTCGCGCATTAGTCTTTTTAATATTGCTGTTGCTGCTTGTCGGAAAATATCTCTAAAAATGAAGTATTTGATAACAGGTTTGTTAATCGGTTTTGTAGTTTTTATTAATTTTATAAAGAAAATTGCAATGTTTATAAGTCATTTTAGTATT